AAACATTCTTGTCGTTTCTTTAATAAAGCTAACAACCTGTTTCTTTCGTCTTGAGCATTTGATGGCTATTGATTTCGGTTTCAAGTATATCTGATAGAAACAAAAAGATCTTGACCGAAAATCTTAAATTTACGAAAAAATAAATCTGTGAGAAGAGATCGGGCAGCGCAATGGTAGTGATGCCCGTCATCACGAGCATGGTGCTAGTTCGATTCCGCTTCGGGCTAACAAAGCTCCTCATCCCTTTGGAGTTGGGGAATTGGTACCGGACTTATCCGGGAAAATTACTCTCTGCAATCGAATCGGGAGCGCTGCAGCTCGGCTATCACAGGACTTGCGAGAGTCGACTAGACCAACATTCTACGACATTTGAGATGAAATTAAAATCGCCAAATAGCAACCGAAGCCACACATAAAAGTTGGAAGATCTTTTGGGATAGTGGATGCGAGGGAAAGAATCGAATGTCAGAAGTACTGGGATCCGCGCAATAGATGAAGACGGATCATATAAAATAAAAAAAAAATAAAAAAAACCCGGTCAAGTTGAACCACTGTCTCTACTGGAGCATTAACTTGTGACTTTTGCATAAATTCATGTTTAAAAAACCTGCAATGAAGGTTCTCAATCGCGACTGGAACAAATAAGCTCGACGTCTGCACTTACAGCATTCGATCAGCCTTCTAGGTTAGAACACCTCGCATACGTAGAAGAACTCGCTGAGGTACCCGTAGCTCTCCTTCAAGAAGAATGCGAAAAATTTGATTGTCCCATGTTATTCGTCTTCCTCATAGAAACGAATTCCATTGATCAGCTTTAGTGTGCAACAAAGATGAATGAAAGCATAACAGGTGGCGGTTTGTCCGTCGAAGACGTCATGCTTGTGGTCGACAATGGATTCCTAGTCCGATTGCTCCGGAAAAAAAGAAGAATAGCTCATGTAGTAGAACAATCGATGGCTATGTTCGCTTTTTTTCACAATATGTTTGTCACTTTAACCATAAATAGGCAAAAGGAGGAAGGAGAGGCTTATGGAGCAAAATATGGGACAATTAAAATGAAGTATATTCAATCCAATGGACAAAACTTTGTAATTATTAGCAATATTTTAAACTCTTTGTTAACTTGCAAAAATACGCCTTGAATAGCGGTGAGAAAGGAGTCGTAGAGACTAGCGCCATCTAAAAAGAATTAAACTCACCCGGAATCGCTGAAACAGATCATTGAAAAGAAAAGAAAAAGCACCGGAAACGTTCAGAAGCCTGCTGAACACCTAAGCGAAGATGATCTTAGCCATAATTTTTCCTGCGCCGTTTCTTAAAGTGATAGCGGATGCAATTATGGTGCAGAAGCGTCCAAAACGTCGGTTACCAATGACACCCCACCTCTTTGAGGAATTCTCGATTAATGGTTATCAAGTAAGCGTAATCATGGGATCGAAACCCAACTAAAGCTCGGAGTGTTGCCCACATCTCATCCTCTCTGTTGCCATTTCACACCATACTCTGTCATGAAAAATTATTTGGCAATAAATAAAAGTTAAAAAATGATCATCAAGTAGTTTGTAGTATTGACTCCTTCACGGAGACAACCGTGGAATCAAGCATGTGCTGCGAGTGGAGTGGAAAAGAACGTTGTTCGATTCCAAGAGTTTCTAGTTATCCTTCAAAGAAAAGGGTATGAACTCTTTGTGTGTCTTTCGTCAACGTTCTGAATCGGCGAAACCGTAAATATCTGTCGGCACGACATCGTGGTATTGTGGTGATGACATTCATTCCCGTGATGTCATCAATGACACTTTCATGCGAATCGGTCGGCACAAAAACAGGATTTCTAAAAGCTTACAACCGACGACGAATCCAGTTCACCGATGCCGTCAAGGATGCTTCGCTGTAAACATCACCTTGAAATTGTAGCTCTAGGCGATATGCCTGTCGCTTTCACCGAGTTCAGTTCGACCGTCTAGCCCTGATTTGGCTTACGACAGTTGCTTTTCTGTCATGAACTTTTCGTTCGATTTAGACATTCCATTTCCAATAATGTTTTTCAGTGGAATTATTGAGATATAGGAACCAATGCTGGTTTGTTTATAACTGTCGATAATTCTTTTAAAGTGATAGAATTCTAAATAGAGTTTTGATCGAGCACTCAATCCTATCACTCTTTAATCGCTTCAATATTCGAACCACGAGTCTCGTCGATAAAAAAAGAACGGTGAAAAGTTCTCTGAGCTCTAGAGATTCGAAGTACCTTCATGGTAAAATACGAAAACTACAGATTCTTAATAATAAATGAGCCTTTGCAACTTCTTATTTTGATTTACAAAGTTCATTATGCTCTGCAATATCTCAGCGCAAAACCTAAAAGTGAAAGCCATTTTGGGAACTCATGAGTTATATATGACTCATGAAAAGCGTCAATATTTAAATTACTTTTTTAAAGACTACTTCTCTCCATTGGAAAAATTAAAAAAGCAATTTGCTTTATTCATATTTTTTAATCTTTTATGTAGTTCTCCTACTACTAAGACAATGTATTACTTTCTTCTTAGTGTTTGCAAAGTGGCTTCTAAAACATACAACAGCGAATAGAAAATAATTTTGAACACACCTTTTTTATGGACCATAAAAATTTTCTGGGATAGTTCTGTTTCGATGCTTTTAAAAAATCCGAAGATGGCTGTGTCGTTAGTTTAAAACTACATGTCCAAGATCGTCTACGACTAGCAGCGAACCGCCAAACGGCTGCTCTACGGTCTTTTGTTCTGCTTTCACTCTGTCCGTCGTTCAAACTACCTTTGATTGATATTATTTTTCCCGTTGTCGGGTGATTGCTGATGGAAAAAGATCGATAGAACTAGCTGAGAGACAGGCAAAACGAAGGACCGGATGGTGTTGAGGTGAAGTGCGCTGCTCCCCGGTAAGGACAACAGCGCGTGTTCGTTCCCCACCGCATACACCTGGGGCCCGCAGCTTTGCAAATATCTCAGCATCATCAGAAGCTAATATTTCGGCCGATTTCGTCTTCTTCAGAGCCACTTTCTATGAGTCTTACTTTTACTGGGTATTTCACATGGAGAGCAACCGCGTAGAGTTCGCATGAACTGCTAAGAAACTCTTGAATACCGTCAATGAAGAATATGAAGTTTTCTGTCAAGAAGGAACAAAGTAGCAACCTCGTGTTTGCTCATCAAGAAAAATGCAATGACCTATTTGATCAATGCCGAGGTTAATAGGAAGTCGGCCTTGGGAATAACAGAACTATGTGTTCATTTTGAGAGAAAGAGATGAATAGATAATGTTAGGACTTCAGTTCCTCCATGGTTTGATCTTGCTGACTGTTATTCAGCAAATTCGTCATCGCTTTAGGAAAGTCCATAACTATCCATAACTGAATTGCATTTTTAAAAAGATCGTACTTTTCCTTATAACATCTCTTAGAGAGAAAGTTGCAAAAGCTACTAGAATTGGAACGGACTTTTTTCGATTCTTATTCTTTTGGTAGTTTCGATGTTGGTTTTCATTGTTGTTGTTTTGCAGAAAATGGACATAGTCTGGACAGTTCCGGTTTCTCAGAGACATTCATGATATGGTCACTCACCATTTAGTATAAAAAGCAATCAAATGTCGCAACAAGAGATGAAAGCTGTGTCGTTGCACGTCGACAACTTTCTTTCCTCTTCGCTTTCAATGGCGTCTTCTTACCTTTAAAGACATTCATGTGTTAGCCTCACACACTCCAAGGTTTCCTTCTCTTGGTGGGGTTATAATCACTTCGTACCGCAAGAATCGTTATTTTTAAATCGATTCCAGCTTTTTTTCTACCAGATCCACCTTTTCAGCTTTCAGCTGTCGAACACATCAAACAGGCATAATCGTTCTCTTCAACGTTGTGACGAACGTTATCTGCCTTCCCATCATAGAATTGCTGTAGTGCAAATACCACTGCGAAAACTCTTTTTTACCGCATTTTTTATGCTCCATATGTTAAAATGTATTGTAAGTATAAATGCTAGGACTGTCAAAACCCACCAATTATTGATTTATTCGCCTAAGGGGTCATGTAGAAAATTGTTGGGCTCATTTTTTTACCCTCACTTGGAGCACAACAAATACGCAGATATCTTAGCAAAGTACCCTAGTGATAATTTCTTAGTTTCACCTCACTTTATTTATGAATAGAAAATGTCGGGTTAGGACAAGCTCTGGGCCCTGCGACCTGTGGTCGCTCTTGAGTCAATGGATAGACTTACCACCTATGCACGAAAGTCCATAGGTTCAAACATTGCCGAAGAATTAAGTAATCATAATAGGTAAATAACAAAGCGTATGGCCCAGATTTATTTCTTAGAGATGCGCAATGCATTTGACTCCATTCATGACATCATAGAGGTAATTGAATGGATTCCCGTCCTTAGCAGTAACTTACTGCTGCTTACCAGTGGGTCACGTTTATTTTCTTTATCATCTCAGATATTCTGCTATCAATCTGCCGACCTGGGGAAATGAAGAGATTGATTAACCCTAAACAAGGAATCGAACCATCGGGATGTAGGACGAAACCAACAATAATATGCACTAAGGGCCATCTATTACCTATCATATTGCGCTAGACAGGCTTTTGTTGACGATGGCAGCCTAAACCTACATGTTAACGTAGCGTTCGGTTCTAAATGGAATGATATTTATGTCATTTTAATGTCTTGTTGATCAAAAGCGTCAAAGACCCACCCATATATAAATGTGTGTGTGTGTGTGTGTGTTGTGGACGTGCAGAACCACAACGACAACGAACCAAACGAAGCCGTTGGATAGTCGGTTTGCCTTATGCAGCTACTCTTCACATTTTTTCATACCAACCCCAGCCATTAAATAGCAAGAGATCACTTTTTTTATACTATTTCTTTTTCTAGGATTTCTAGGACTTCACGAATCAAAATACTTCGTACTTAGATTCATTGGTGTTGTCACTTTTTACTAGACAATTTTAGATTCCGAACGCTATGCGGTTGCTTGTCGTAGTTGTTGCCAGTGTGGTTATTGTAAAGGTAAAACTTATTTCTCGTTTTTTAACTTTTTCTAGCCACTTCATATTAAAGTGAAATACATTTGCAACTTTGCGAGCTTAGTAATTAAGTTTTCACTGGGAAGCTCCTGTTTTTAAAATGTCATCTTGGATACGGTAAGTGGCAAGTGAAAAAAATCACTCAATGCTGAAGTAAGCAACTTACCTGCCAGCAACTGTGGTTGCGTTTTATGTCCTTCGTTTCGTTAGCTCCTTTCCTCTGTTCTCACGAAAAACTTGGCTAAAAACTGCTTGGGAAAACTGGTTTGAGCAAAATAAAAAGCTCCACAGAAAATATACCAGTTTCTAATAAAACTGCCAAACAAAGATGGAAAATGAACTTGTCATTTTATGAAAATTTCGTTTATTCTCTTTCAGGGTCAGAACTTTGCCTCATTACTAGGTCCTCTGTTTGGTGGAGGCGGTGGCGGAGGACTTGGGGTAGGCAGTTATATGTGGAATTGCTCCTTGATAAAGTGATAGGGTTATACTGGCGTCTAACTATTTTAGAACATATTAGCTAGTTTCGGTGGCGGTAAAGCTCCAGACATTGGCAATCTTATTCAATTAGGAGCTGGATTTCTAGGGGTAAGTGATTAGAGAATTCGTTCAAACATTCTCTAAAAAACTGAAATTCCACTGCCATGGTGATCGTTGTGATTTCTGGATAAGCATTCCTATGGACATAGCATAACTTCAAACAAAAGAACACGCAAACACTAAAAGGAAGGAAAAGGAAGGGCTCGAGGGAAAAAAAAGGTGCGCCAATATTTGCCCCCCGTTACGCCAATTTACGACCGCTTATGGAACGTGTTATAGGCATGTTTGGAACATGTTTGCGGTGTGTTTTAATACACAGCGCGTACATGATTCGTGTTCGTTCACGTTCTTTTGTATTTATTTGTAAATGGTTTGACATCCTACGACGAATAACTCGTACAATTTCCTGAACCGACAAGGACGAAACGAAAGAACAGGAGCATTCGCCATGGTCGGACTCTAGCTGCCCCACGCAACCTCCACTCTGCTTAGCATATTCGATATTGGATGAACACATAGTCCTTGCATTGCATTCTCATAGATTAGTCTGCCGTCAATTTTCAGACCCCTAAGGATGAAAAGATTGGTTTTCCTGAGTAAGAGATTGAACCAGTAACCATGTGTATTATAGGGAACCGTCATCCATAGCTCGTTTCAGTTAACATATTTAAGACAATAGGCCAACTTCTCATACTTGTGGGCCTAAAAGAACAACTGGTAAGACAAAGCAGTAGGGTTAAGCTAGGGTTTCAAAAAAATGGACATGCGTAAGCATTCCAAGTGCAGCTGACTTTCATTGGTGTGCTTACACAACTATTGTAAAATATGCACCATCTGCATTTTATCCCATTTGCAATCTCGTTTATCACTTGTTCACACAGCGGTAAAATTTCATCCATCCTTCCCATATTGGTGAGAAGATCAGTGAGCTTTGTTTCTTCAAAGAGCACGAAGAGATCACACGCTTTGTACACGACTCTGTTTCTGTTCACCAGGCGCAACTTGCCACGGGTTACTTATCTGGTTCTACTGTAACAAAACATTATCCCTAACTTAGTTTCCGAACGATGATATCGAACTCCTTAACTTGGTTAGAAATGAACCGCCGTTATACATCACAGCTCAGGATTCGGAAACAGCCAACAGGAGAAGGCGATAAACCACCAGAGAAGAAACAAACACAAAGAAAGATATAATTCAATAGAATTAACGGGGTAACGGTAGGTTATGGTTAAGTTCTTTATAAATGTACAACTAAGATTCTTTATTCGCTATAACATTCGTCGCTTTTGCAGAAAGGAGGAGGTTTACCGCCACTGCCAAGTCTCCCACCGCCAGTTCCGACGTCTGCTCCAGCACCCGCACCAGCACCAGCACCAGCACCCGCTGGCGGTCCAACCAACATCGCCGTTCCGGACTATTCAGACTACGAAGGAGAACTTGTGAGCACTGCCACCGCCAGTCCGTAATAGATTATGCAGTAGAAAGTGTCACGCCGTATTGGCTTATTCATGACTTGATCGTGATCGTTTTCCTACTTTCCTCATGAAAGATAAAAACCGAATAAAATTCATCACATTGCTCAAAAACTGAGTGCAAACTAACAAACAATATGTAAGCCTATAAAATCTTCGACGTTACACTTTCTACTGTCAGTAATGACGAATAATTTTTGGTGAATCGCTAAGAGCACCCACTAGTGTCTAGTTGGTCGTTGTTTTCGAGCGAACCTGCCTACTTTAAAAAATTGCGTGGTCCAAAGCAATGAACAGCATCAATGATTACAGCGATTCTAAAATATGACCAAACTCAGAACCCTAGGTGAGCTTCCTGCTGACGGGTGATTGCTAATAACACTGTTAGGGCAGGAAGTCGGCCGAGAGAATGACAAAGCAGGAACCTAGACGGGCAGTGGGATAACGTAAGCCACCAGAGCGTAGGCAAGGTAATGGTAATTCGGGTCAGAAGCTCACCTGAGTTGCCGTGTTTTGCTCGTATCTCAGCATCATTGTGATTCTATTTCACTTAATGTCCTACCATGTGAAAATTATAGGCAATAAATTAAAAAGTTGAAGAATATCAACAAATGTTAACGTTTTACTTACTGCCTATTACATTTTTCACGGAAAGCTATTATGTGTGATACAACCACAATGATTCTGAGATATTTGCAGAACTCCTGACAGCAGGTGTTTCGGTGGGGAACGAATGCGCTATTACCCTTTCCGGGGCTAACGCGTTCACCACCACATCGTGCGGGTCCTTCGTTTCGCCTGTTCCTCAGCTAGTTCTATCGATTAGTGCCATCAGCAATCACCCGTCAGCAGGATTGATCTAAGGAGCACAAATCGGCAATGAACCCTTTAAAAAAATTTGAATTGTAACAGGCAGTAAATAAAAAGTTAACATTGTGATTTTGACTACAGCCTCGGCTTAACCGGACTCATTGCCGATTTGGGTTCCCCAGAACAATCCCGCTGACGGGTGATTGCTGGTGGCACTGATCGATAGAACTAACTGAAAGACAGACGAAACGAAGGACCCGCGCGGTGTGGTGGTGAACGTGTTAGCCCCGAAAAGGGTAATAGCGCTTTCGTTCACCACCGTAGGCACCTGCGGTGCGGAATTTTACAAACATCTCAGCATAATTGTGCTATCAACGAATATTCCTCAATTGGATGCTGCTATCAAAGGCGAGTTTTGAGAAATCTATCACTGCAGATAATTACTTTCACCTCTCACCTCGGAACTTGAATGCACTTAGTTGAAGAGTTTCAAGTAAGTATAAGATGTAAAATAAATAGATATAGGCTAATAAGTACATCTGGAAGTCATCAGATAATGAATAACTTATTACTGAATGGTGAAGGACCGTCGCGAAAAAGGCATGTCCACGATTGGTGGAGGGAATTTCACAACATCAAAGTGTCATTCAAATACGTTTTCGTGATGATTTCTTGAAAATTTCTATAACTACTCGACATTGAAAAATGTAGGAATCTAAATCACTCCAGTACCGGCCTTAAATTGATCTTACCCGTTTTGGAAATTATTGATGGAGACAAGAACTAGAAATTAGGAAGGCACTCTTTATTGCGCCAAAGCTGACGCTCCGACCAATTTCGACTTCTTTAGAGCCTAGAAATACCAAGTTGACTACAATCTGCCCAGCCAAATACCTCCATAACCAAACAGCGAAAATTCTGTAAAAAAAATTAGCACCTTTCTAGGCTCTGAAGAAAGCGATATCCGCCGAAATATCAACTTTGCCGTAATGAAGAATAAAGTGAACCCTGTGTTTGCTCATCATGAATATAGAGAATTATTTGACCATTGCCGAGGTTAATGGGAAGTCAGTCGTGGGATTTACTAAATCATAGTTGGAGAATGGTTTCGACCAAAGTTCTGACATCGTGGATCTATAAGTATGCTGTTCATCTACAGTGCTTTGAAATTTAGTGGCAGCTACTATTTCCACCAGTTCTAAGTTCTATTTACCAAAAACAATATGCGAATGAAATATTTCCTGCATGTTTTCTAAGTAACAAAATTTTCTCGACTGACTGATCGTCGGCATACGTCTGATAATGCTGTTATTGTGCCCTACTCTTTATTTTTTAAAAAGAAGTATGGAGGGGCGCATGTGGTCCACTGGTCGGAGGCGCCCTGTAGTACACATAGGTTCGATCACGGCGTCCTCGGCTCACCAAGCCTGCCATCCTTTTGGGGGTGACAAATAGGTATCAGACTTATCTGGGAGGATAGCAGTACTGGCTTCATACATCGGTATGCCAACGTGAGTAATTATAAAGGACAGGCATTCATTCGATCACTTCCAACACAATTCAACACAACATCGCTTTTACCGAACATCAACTCCTTTTAGTTATAAGGAAAAGAAGGAAGCTAATAGGATATTTTTACAAAACTGTGCCTGACTTTTGGAATAATTTTTCTTACCATTACTATTGAATGACTTTACATTCTTCAAAAATAATCTTCTCTGGCTAAAGTGTTATACAAATAAACAATAGCTATCTTTGTCTATAAAGTTTGACCGGATCGAAACCGCCCCATACGGAATGAAAGATCGTCGTTTCGCCTTTAAGGTCGCACCCAAGCCAAATCTTTCGCCTTCAAAGCCGCACCTAAGCCAAACCGTTTTCTTATTAAGGGATAAAGCTCTCGGCGTTGATCAATCCATGAGGGATGCGCCATGAATTCGACTTCATTAAGTATCGTTGGAGGTGATTGAATGCATATCTAGCCATTACAATGACTCGGGGTGGCCTACCGATGTATCGAGCCAGTGCTACTATCCTCGAAGACAAGTATGGTACCAATTTGCCGGTCCCGGAGGAATGAAAAGCTTGGTGGGCCATGATCGCGGGGATCAATTCTACGTATGTCGCAGTGGGGCCTCCGACCACTGCGCAGTCTCATCGCCGTCGTTTTCTTATTAAGATCATAAATATGTCCGCAACACTTAGAAACTCCCAGTTTTACTTATTACCTTCCCACATTAAGCATTTCAGGAGGAATTTACACCTCAAGCTGAACTGAAAAGTCGACAAAAAGACGAACAACCGAAAGAAGGGCAGATAAAAAGACAGGTAAAGAAAAGGATTGTATAGTTCGAAACTTTCGATTTACGAGATCGAAGCAGCACTAGCTGGTTAGATCGGTAGATTACTGTGAACCATTATAAAGGCCAGATATGCATTCGATCACCTCGAAATGCTGCTTAATGAAGTCGAATGCATGGCGCATCCCTCAGGGATAGATCAACGCCGAGAGCTTTACCCTTTTTATGAGCGCCTAGTGAAGTGTTTGGTTTCAATTTAGATTCACCGGCTAGGTGTTCTTTTAAGCGGACGCAGAACGGCTTAGTCGTTTCGCCAACGTATTCGTCTCACACACTTTACAAGAGATTAGGTACACCGTACCCGAACTCATGCTATCGGATCGGTGGACTTCCTGCGTAATGTTTGACATCCTGAGGAATCCAGTTACGAGCGACTCTAGCCCATCGGTTGTCGTTCATATGCATTATGTGTCTAAGACCACGTTATCTTCGACCATTCGACGTGTAGAACGACGTCTGTGACTTTTGATCATTAACGTAGTCCGAAGCTTCGGATCCCTTCTCTCACTTGCCTGATACGCGACACTTCTAACATCGTCCTTCCCAATGCGCGTTCAGTAACGCTGAATGATTTTTCATTATGCTCACGTAGCGACCAAGTTTCTGACGCATACCTTGGGACAGGAAGGATCGTGGAGTCAAAATGTTTTTATAGAGTCAGGTGTTCTTTGTTCTCTTCACTAAATCCTCGATGCTTTTGAAAGCTTCCCCACGCCGCTTGCTTCCTCCAGCTCAATTCCGGAGCTGTGTCGTTCATCACTTCAATTTTCTGACCTAGATAAATGTAGCTGAAGCATTCCGAGATATTCGTACATTTCAGCGTGAATGGGCCATGCGAAACCAATCCGTTGCTCATGCACGTCGTTTTTGGGAGATTTAGTCGAAGACCAATCTTTCAACAAGCTTTATCAAAGTCGGCAAGCATGCGTTCCTCTTGGCTAATGTTTGGTGTTATAAGAACCATGTATCAGCCAAAGCGAAGATGATGTAATTGCCGACCATCCATTTTCACCCCCATGTTATCCCATCCCAGTGTTCGCATGACACCCTAGAGGGTGGCGGTAAATAATTTTGGCGAAATGATATCGCTTTGTCTGACCCCTCTTTTGACTTTGTTGAATGTACATCGTTGTAGAATGGTGATATCTTGGTTGTGAAATTTTCATAGAGCTCACAAAGAATCCTTAAATACTGAATTGTCTCCATGGTTGTCAAGGATTTCCATGATTGCATCTATCTTAACTGTGTCAATCGACGAAAGTGTGGTAATCTGTTGCACTCTCGCCATGCTTTAATGAGTCTTGCTATAGTGTGGCTGTGGTCCATAGTACTAAATCCTTTTCGAAACCCTGCTTGCTCACATGGCTGTCCTTCGTCCAGTGTTCTGTCAAATCAGTTTAGGACGGGTTGAGTGAGAATTCTGTAAAAGACAGATAGCAAACCAATATCGCTATAGTTGTCGATGTAATGGCAGTCACCCTTCTTTAACAATAACACAACATGAATGTGTCGTTTTCTTGTTCAGCAATCGCGAGGTTTTTAAACAGCATACATTTACTTCCATAAAAACACAATACAATACAACGCTAGCTGACGTTTCGGCAGTATCGCCTTCTTCAGAGCCTGGAAGGGTATACTGATATACAATCTACCAGGCCAAAGGCTTCAATAACACTTACAAAAAGACGAAAAACTCTCTGGTAATTACACGATCAACAAATTCTCGAAAAACACACCGCTTATTCGTGACTTCCAATGAGGAAGTTTAGAACAGCTGTTTATAGTCGCATGTGGTTGACGACTGCACCATCCCACATTAAAA